ACTGCATACGCACGCGCAAGATGGATATAAATGCCGCATAAATAAGAGTGCCATAAAAGCGTTCGCCACGAAAGTGCAAAAGAAACATATATCTCAACGAAAACAAACTTATCTTTTCTCACCTTCGTGAATGTAATAACTACAGCTGTGTAACCACGATGATGGATAGTTTTCCGTCTTCATCATAAAAAGTGATATTCATTTATCTTCTCCAAGGGATGAGAGGTATGTGATTCAGTCATGATCTGATCCAGTAAGTTTAGCGCTCCATCGTTCGAAATTTTGGGCATTAATTATTTATTAAGATCACGTCTATCCGAAGTTATTACCGAAACACACCCTACCTTCGAGTCGCGCAAGAGACATAGAGAGAGGAAGAGAAAAATCGTTCTAAGGCAAAGTTCCCTCTTAATGCAGCCGTATATAAATATGAAGATCCGTAAAAGAGCAGTCATACCAACAGTTTCGACCAGGACGATGTTATAACCGGCACCTTCGCACAAAATCACAGCCTCGTGCGTTCCTTTCGTCAAGCCACCCAGAGTGCCATGAGTAGCAGATGCACGGACGAACGCGTTGTCATCGCGTGACAGCTCCTGCATTCTGGCGACATCTCCCATGATCGAGCCTGAAACGTATTGTTGAGACGTTGCAGCAACTAGTGAAATTTTTTTGCTGTAGTCAGGACAAATACTATATCAACTCACAATACTATACAATCACGTTATTTAAAACTGCAAATTGGCTTTACTTTTACTAAAATACTACAAATTTGTTTAGAACCATTGAAAGGAATTACGCCTTCCATCTCCAAACATGTTATAATGCCAATTTTCCTATATCCTGTCGTCATTCGAAAGTTACCTCGAGATACCTAGACTTCTGGTAAAAAGTAAAATGGGTCAGTTTTGCCAAGGGCGATCTTTATCCTTGCTCTGTTGCATGCAGCAGCGAAAAGACCAAGTGCCTGATGAGAGTTAGCAATAAGATGAAACGAACAAAACACGATCACCTAACACGGAAGGTGAATCAGTCAAACATTCCTAACTACCATGCGTATGTTGCGATTGCTGCTCCATTTCATAAAACTTGCGAACATTACAAGATAACGGATGCTCTTGACACAAGCTAACATGTACTCTAAAAAGAATGGATTTCCAACCGCGAACCCGGACAGATTTTCGACTAGTCGTACAAACTATTGAACACTCCACTAACTGACCATCCACGTGACATTCCTGGAACAGTTTACACAGCACTGACCAAAACACCCTATCGTGGGCTTTTTGTAAATCTGTGAACCAAGCATGAGCCTCCTTCACATACTCAAAGCATCCATTGCAAACTTGGCGGAGGATAAGTATCTGTTCTGCTGTGCTGTAGCCAGGAAGAAAGCCACACAGTTCGTGCTGAATGCTATGTTCTGCCATTACTCGATACTTTTTCAAGCACTTCGCTCAGGCAAGAAATATGAGCAGAGAGATCCTTTGGTATTTACTGCAATCATTCTGACAGTCGCAACATGCTGTCGTTGTTTCTGTGCTTTTAAGGAACTCGCGCCACTTGACAAACACATCAGGTAAAGAATGTCATCTTTGTTAAAGCCATTAGCACTTCAGATCATATTTCATCTTCTTACTGGCTAAACCATGTTTCAGTCCAGTAGGTACAATCGGAACTCACACCTCAGCTGCTGAAGCCACTTTACGAGTCGAAGTAAACTTCTTAGATAACGTGAGGATCTACTGAGCCATGAATAAAGCGATTCTAAAGTATTCATTTGCAAGGGAAACTAGTTTGCACAAATCTGAAAGTTTCCTATCGCATTCTTCGCTTGTCCGATTGTGCCTATCTTTGCCCGTGTAGAGGACAGACTAATGTCAAAAGATTTTGTTTAACGATCAACAGAGCTCGGTTTTTCTCTGATTCCTAGCTTCTGCAGCTTTCCCTGCTTGTGCAGCAACTTCCAGACTTTCGATATGTCAAATACGCATAGAAGATACGGCATTGTTCGCAAGTCAGGTGGAAAAAGCCTTCTCGCTCTAACGGAGCACTGAACTTCTGATTTCCACTAAGTTCTGTTGTAAATGCCAGTCATGACACCAAGTGTTTTCAGTCTTCAGCAAGATCAAATCAAAGTTATCGCAATTCTAATTCAGGTGGCTAAGAATGTCGCATATAAAGTAACTTGTTGACTGTAATTACGTCTACTTTCGTGATACACATCGACTTTTGAAAGGCTGAATTCACACGCACACAGAAGCTCCCCAACATAACCTGTCTCTGTTTCACTTACAATCTGTCTTAGTCGCCTATGCCCTAGAAAACCGTCCCAACTCTAATACGCATGTCAACATCAGTGACAACCAGCCCTACAAAACAAAATTACTCGTAAAAACGTTCTTGCATATCTCCCCAAACAAAAGCAGGGTATGTAACTGACGTAAGACCTTATACGACATATGTAGGATATGAGGACTAATCAATTGTTTGCTGATTCTAAAACTTGAAAAGAATTATCTGTATGTTTTAACTGCTTTGTGTTATTACAGAATTACTTTTGTACAGTGACGACGATTGATGTGTGGTCAGTGGAAGCGCTGATCGGCTAACTGAGAAAAATATTTACTCTTAAATTGTTCACGGCATGGAGTAGGCAAAAGTTTTCGAAAACAAAGTTTCGAAAATCTCTAGCACCGACGTTTACTTTCCCACTATACAGAAAGCCGTAGGAATAACAGACGGCATGGCGTATTGATTCACATCACGTTATATTTTTCGGTCTTGCGCAATGGCGTCGCTAGAGAACTCTCCTCCCACCTTACTGTTCTTGCACAAGACATAACGAAGTCCGATCGTTACAGCACACAGTACAAAGTACCAAGCAATCAACAGAAGGAGCATAACAGGCACAACGGAGTAAAACATGACAGGACTGATTTAATTTTCATCCCGCTTAGTGATAATCGTCATAAAGATCACATTCAGTGGTGTATTCATTGCAGACAATACGGCGCTTACTGGACTAACAATTGTGCACGCAGCTAACGGTCAGGACTCCCTTGTTTAAACGGACGACAAAATCGCTGTACGAAAAACAACGGATTATACAGTAGTGTAAGCAGTATAAAATGCAAGAGAACAGTCGGCAGGTTAACAACAATAAAAGGTGTACTTGCTGCGACTTCATCAAACCCAACAGTTTTCTTTTATCCGCCTTTTATCTTCAAATCGGCTAGGGCAAGAACGGTTCAACTAGTCCTCCTCGGCCAAAGCTTCGTGTCAGTTAATTATCTGGGGATCCGTGGCAGGTCTTTAATCTATGGCAATAGAGAACAAACTTTAGCGTACCTCAAAAACCATATTATGAACGCTGGTAGTTGCGCATGCCCTGAAAAGTATGGAGACGAGGTGGGTTTATGGGCAGCTTCTACAGTGTCGCTTTCGAACGCATCATGGTGCCATATCGGGTATGAAAAGGTCGTAAGGATAAAGATCTGTCTGCGCTCGCCCGTCTAAGAGCCATCTTCAGACGCGAACCTATGACGGAGAAGGTACAAATTTTTTCGTAACATTATGTACCAAGATTTTGGCGGTGTTCAGAAACGTTTCTTATGAATTTGAGGAGGCACCCATGTTGAAAATATTTTACTCAACGACGATCGACGAAAATAACTACAAACTACGTTACCTCCGGTGGTGACGGACGATGGGTCGATGGTCAGCACCGCCACCTTCTTCTTATGTTCGTCGATCAGGAACTTGCCGAAAGTTTCGATGAATGTCGACTTCCCGACTCCCGGAGGTCCGGTGAATGCCACACGGAAGATCAATGAGCCGGGTCCGTATTTGTCGATCCGCTTCTTCGCTAGGCGCAGCAGCTCGGCCAGGATGTACTCACCCTGCGCTTTTTTGGTTGGGTTGCGGGACTCGACTAAGGTGATCGCCTCGGCTAGACTCGATCTCAAACCCCTTCGCAGTCCATCGGTCAGCCGCACCACTGTCGGGTCCTGCCGGGACACGTTGTCGTCCCAATGACTGTTGATATACTCAACGATTTCCGTTGACCGATCTTGCTGGTGCTGCCTTAGTACAGCATCCGGGTACTCTTCGGTGACGAGGTGTCGTCGTCCAGTGATGGTAGTCGTGGCCGATAGCCACCCACCTGAGGCTACGCAATGCCTAAAGGTCAACGGTCGGACGCGGATACCGCGACAGATCGCTGACAGCTGGAATAATCGCGACAACGCGGGAAACCGCTGCGGAAATAACGA